TTGGCGGGCGGCAAGCGTTTCGTTGTCGGACGGGATAATGCAGAATCAAACTCACGTACTTGGTGGGTGTCTTGAAAGAAACAAAGAGATCCGACCTTTTACCGTAGAGTTTCAAACTTTTTCCCCTTGACGTCGCCCGGGCGCGATAAGCTCTGGAATACAAGTCAAACCGTGCGCGGGTGCTCTCTCGCTGTCGGAAACCGCTCCGTCACCGTCACCACCGAAGATTGGTCGAGCGTGCAGTGCGTACAGCCAGCACGCAGGCTCCGCCCATACTTCCAGGGCATTTGCGCTGGTACGAAGCGCGATCGAGGAGGAATGGCTCGAAAGGCGAATCAAATCCTGATGTCTACATATTTTGTTGTTTCTCTCCTCTTTCTTTCTCTGAGATAGTCGCAATATTCTTTCACCCGCATGGATCCGTACGGTTGGATCTGCAATCCAGAGCTATAACAAACAACTTCTTTCTTTCTTCTCGAGATGGGCTATTGACAGAATGAGCATACTACCTACTCGTCTATTCAGAACCTCCCACATCAAACATATATGCAACAAAGTGATTCTGCATGCATCTTTCCTTCCTCTTCACATACCCCTCCCGTTCCTGTCGAGGTCCGTTCCGATTTCATTGGTCTGCGTTGTTTGAGGCCGCCTGCTGGCAGTACCAAGTCTGATAAGCCCGCATGACCCTTCTCGCTATTCCGGAGAAGAAGCATATAGGTGTTGTTTCACGGACAGGCCTAGAGAGAAATGATGCGTCAGGGATGCGACTACGACAAGCCCTTCAAAGTCGAGCTTCCTGCTAAGGCCCAGACCGGCCGACATGGTCCGCATAAATCGCTTTGACTGCTTCCCGACCTCACGCTGCACCCAGTGAAGACTACCCAAGTTGATGTTAATGGTTGCCGTGTTTATCTGTATGTTTTGGCTGAAGAGCACGGTATTCATATTATGCAGACAGAACGCAGTGCGATGTCGGCGGTGAGGATTCTGATTGTGATGCCTCCCATAACTCAATGGTAGGAACAAACAAACAAACAAACAAACAAACAAACAGACAGACAGACAGACAGGGTAGGACAACCAACGACATTCTGCACCTCTTTGCCATATTCAGCAGGTCTCTCATCCATACTCACGTCCAACTGCTGGTTCTTCATTCTCAGTTCATCTATCGCTGTCCTCGCCGCGTTCAAATCAATCAATGACTCATTCATTCATTACTGGCCATTCGCCACTAGCAAACACCTCCCTCCATCCATTCCGCGTTTTTTTACAACTTGCTGATAATTCGGTCGGTGAATTCCTGGGTGGAAGCCTTTCCGCCCAAATCGCCCGTAATGTGTTTACCCTCTGCGATCGTGCCAAGGATGGCTTTTTCGATTTGTTCGGCCTTGTCGAACAAGTTCATGTGCCTGAGTGCGTGGACGGGAAGGGAGGGGAGGGGAGGGGAGAGTAATGGGAGTGAGTAAGGGAGGGATACAGGAAACAAGGGGGAGGCGGGCGTACCTCAACATCATCAGACTTGAGAGGAGCAAGGCGGAAGGGTTGGCGAGACCCTTTCCTGCGATATCGGGAGCGGAACCGTGAACGGCTTCGAAGATCGAGGCGTCCTACACGGGCCAGCCGAAACGAGGTTAGTCAGATTCAGCCTTTTCCCACAACCGTAAAAGCCAGTGGAGGCCTGGAGCAAGACACGCACCTTTCCAATGTTACCGGACGGAGTCAATCCCAATCCACCGATCAAACCGGCACACATGTCGGACAAGATATCACCGTACAAGTTGGGCATGACCATTACCTGATCAGCATACGGTTCCGGGTTCTGCACAATCCTCAAACACGCTCGATCCAACAAATCCTCATCGTAGTGGATGTTTGGGTATTCCTTGGCAACCTCTCGACAAGCTTGCAAGAACATGCCGTCGGACATTTTCATAATGTTTGCCTTGTGGATCGCGGTGACCTTGTTTCGGCCGTGTTCGGATGCATAGTGGAATGCGTATCGCGCGACTCGCTCGGATGCTTCGTATGTGATCAACTTGATGGACTGGACAACACCGTCGACGATCTGTTACACGCGCCGGCAAACGGAGAACACATTAGCACCTGGCGCGTGGTTTCTCTTTCGTATGCACTGCGTGTGGAGGCTGAGGACCCACCTCGTGCTCGATACCACTGTATTCACCCTCGGTGTTTTCACGGATCAGGACCGTGTTGACGTTGTCGTACGCGGTCTTGTACCCCTGAATAGAGACACAAGGTCGAACGTTTGCAAACAGGGAGAAAGTCCTTCGTAGTGTCAAGTTGAGGGAGACGTGGCCCTTTCCGACTGTTCGAACGGCGGTAATAAGCATTGTTGAACGGTAAGGAGAACGGCGCAAGATAGGCAGGCAAGTGAGGCAGGTGAGAGGAGGTAGGAGGACGTACTGGGAGTAGCGAGGGGACCCTTCAATGCAACAGTGTTCTTCTTGATCGAGGTGATCGCGTCTTCCGGGATAGAGGTCTTGCCGTTCTTCAAGATGGGGGTGACATCGACTTCCTCCCACTTGATAGGGACCTAACGGTTGTTAGAACGGGGCGGGCAGGGCATTAGTCTTGTTTGTCTACTCGTGAGGATGGGATGTGAAGAGGAAGAGAAAGAAAGGCTAGAGAGCTCACCTTGGCAGCAGTGTAGATGTCCTTGACACTCTGACTGATCTCGGGTCCGATACCATCACCTACCCGCACGAAAGAAGAGCAGGCGAACGATTAGCTACTGGTATCTGTCTTGCGTACGAGGGCTGGACTTGATTGCGCGTGTGTCCCCGAGCGTGTGTGACGTACCAGGAATAAGGGAGACGGTGTAGTTTCCCGATGCATCGGGTTTCGAAGCGTACGCCGAGGAAGGAGCAGATGATTGGAAGGCCGATGCGTATGATCGTGCGCTTGCGGCCTGGTTTGCGGGCAAGGTCCAAGTAGAAGCAGAGGTAGGAGAGGTCAGTTTTCTGTGAGATGCGCGGTTGTGGGCTGAATGAATGCCGGAGCGTAGACGCGTACCTGGAAGCTCCGAAGAGCGTTGGCGATGGTGGTAGGGGAAGGCTTGGCGAGCATACTGACGACAGGCGAACGAGGGTGGATGGTAGGTAGGAGAGGTTGCTTGCGTTACTTGCCAACGGTCTAGAGTGTCCAAAGTAGATAGTTGAACTAACCCACCCACCCACCACCACCTACAGCATGAGAGAGGGAAACAAGGCATCTAGGGGCGCACCACCCTACGTCAGGCCAATCTGCAGCGGCTTCGGAATTGCTCGGACGAGTGTGTTAGGTAAGCAACAGGGCGGATCCGGGTTATTATTCGTCACGGAGGAGGGAACAAGATGCTGCTTCAACATCTTTCTGCAGTTCTTTGCATTACTAGTATCAAAAAATGAATTCTTTTGAATCTTTAGGTCCTCCCCAGGGTCTCCTCTTCCGGCAGGCAAACAGCCATGCTTCGCCATTCACCGATACGCTCCCTGACGCTGCCGCTTCTCCTCGCCATCTTCCTCCTGGCGTCTCCCATTGCTGCATCATCCGGCGACCGTCACCCTCTCTACAAATCCTGCGTAAACGACTGCATCACACAACAATGCTCACCGCCTCAACCCAGGACGCTTTCACCGCTTCTTCGTCTCCTACAGTGGACATGCAGCGATGATTGTTCATATCACTGCACACATCAAGTTACCAACACGTTGCAGCATGATTCCGCAATAGCAGCAACGTCTGGAGGTAAAGTGTACCACCAGTTTCATGGCAAGTGGCCGTTTTGGAGGATTATGGGTGTACAGGAACCTGCAAGTGTCGTGTTCTCTTTAGGGAATCTGTGGGTGCATTGGAATGGGTGGAGAAAGTTGAGACGGAGCGTGAGCGGCTCGTTGGCGACCAAGAGATGGATGATGGCGCTCGCTATTGTGCAGATGAATACATGGACATGGTCTGCCGTTTTTCATACACGAGGTGAGTACCGTGCGTCTTGTTCATCTTGCTAAACCACGTTTGACTCCTTCACTCTCCTGCCAGACACACCATTCACCGAAAAGATGGACTACTTTTCTGCAACTGCGACCATCATGTTTACGGTTCACTACACCATCCTTCGGCTATTCAACCTCTTTCCTTACCCACCACAACGACAACAAACACCACGAATCCGCTACCTACTCAGCATTACCTGTATTCTTCTCTACATTGCACACATCTCCTACCTCCTCAGCACTCCAAGGTTCGACTACGCATGGAACATCCTGTTCAACCTATGCCTCGGTGCGGTACACCTAGCACTATGGTCAATCTTTTCCCTTCGATTCACCGTCAAACTCCCTTTCCCACTCTCACTAATCCCAACACCCTACCCACCACTCGACCCCCTCCAAATCACACCCAAACCTCAATACTCGAAAACATCCGCCCTCCTCGTCCTCGGAACAACCCTCGCCATGTCCCTCGAACTATTCGATTTCCCACCCATAGGACGGACCATTGACGCGCATAGCCTGTGGCATCTCGCGACCGTGATGATTGCGCGCGGGTGGTACGAGTTTATGATTCGTGATGCGGCCATGTTGGAGGCTGCGAGGATGACGTGGGATCCTGTTGCGGCTGGGAGGGTGGCGGAGAAGATGGCAGAGGTGGTGGCAGGAGGGAGGGAGAAGGGTGCGGGGATAATGCATGGGCAGCAGCAGCAGCAGCAGCAGCAGAATCAGTCGAGGCATTCAGGAGGGTACCTGAGATGACCCTTGTCGCTGATGCCCACCAGGGAATCAACCAAAAGCAGGATGAGTGGTACGTGTTGTGTATAGAGTTTCGTTGTACATCTGTCAGTATGGTTACTTGCTAGAGATTGGCAACAATGTCAAGCAGCATGAGGGGTTTTTCGTCGATATTGGCAAGAACACGAAAGGCGACGCGACGTCAGAGAAACAGACGGAGCTTAGCTTGTTGCTCCAAGTCAGATTCTAAGAAACAAAACATCAGCAGGTGACGTAGGAAAGTGGTCTAATCCGCCAGTTTAAGGTCGATCTACATCGTCGTTAAATCACTGGTCCTCCGGGGCGTGAGTTCGAATCTCACCGTCATCATTTTTGCTCTTTCTGCTTTGGGAACGGGGATAGTCGAGCGATACTCGATTATTTTTGGCGTTTACGACCCTTCCGTTTGATACACCATACCTACCATACACTGATATCAATCGTCGGAAGAGTGGACTCGGCAACATGACGACAATGCAGGGACGCCTATTTGATTTAGCAGTCACTTCGTGGCTCCGTTTGCCTTGTCGTCAGTATGTGGGTGTTCGACTTCGAGATAGGGATTCACGGCGGCGGCCCATCTGTAGTTCGGGTGGCTCGCATTCCTCATCGATGCCAGGGGCTTTGCCATGGAAACCCCAAGGCAATCTGGACTTCTTTCGATCATCTATGGCTATGGCATGATATTGAGGCATATTAGAAAGGCTCGGACTCATCGTTAAGCTCGCCGAAGATCATGCGACTGTCTTCTTTGTCACTTTTGTACGTGGGATGTGAACGGCTTCCCGCCTACCTCTCCAGGGTTTCCGCAACAATCTTCTCACAGGAAGATATTGTTTGGGCTGCAACAGGATATTGAGCAATCACTTTTCTGTAGCTCTGCAGGTTGCTCCCACATTGACTGTCTGCAAACCCGGAACCTTGGGGTAATAACCGGCCGATTGATCCATCGATCAGCTCTACCCTTCGAGTAGTGGCCGAGGTACGTCTTCACCTTGAACTATCTTCTTTCTACAAATAACTGATAGACCGGCTTGCGTTCTCTTTTCTTCATGGGTTCGAATCCCATCTCAATCATTCTTTTTTTTGCAACGATGTGTCAGTTTTGTGTCGTTATGCAGCTTTCGTCCGCTGCCTTCATTATGACTACTACCGCCATGATGTATCAAGACACAACATGGGGCGACTTTTCAGAGTGCTTGCTAGTGTTAATCGATGACATTATTGTGATCGTCCGGAGTGGAATTCAATTGACAAGGCTGGTGGATCGTCGTCTTGATGTGAGATCAAGAAGTTGTCGGGAGACTTTGTACCGCCGTTTCTCACCGTGACTGTTGCTTCCACAGTTCCGTGAGAAGCTGGCATCGACTGACCCTTCTTCTCTTTTCCCTCACCCAGCGCCTTCGATAAGGCTCTCTTGTTATTTTGGCTGCCGGAGGGCCGAAGGAAGATGCCGCTCGTCCATAAGGTTTTCGAGTATCTTTGCGACTGTCTTCAGAATCGCTTTACGGAAGAGGGCAGAGCGCAGTCATTCCTCCCGTGATGCGACTTATGTTTATAGTGTTTCAACTTGCGTGTCGTTTTGAAGGGGATTTGAAAAGAATACTCTCACAATAGCCGATCGCGAGGGGGGGGGCGGCGTACTTGGATTGTGCCAGGGGTATTCACTGTGCGAACACCAATAATTTGATTTGACACTATGGCGCCCTCATCAGCCTCACCGCACAATCACCATTGTCTGCCAGCTGATATGGGCCAGAGCAGTGGAGGAACATGCCACGGGGTTTGCTCACAGACCTCGGATGAAATTGGAAAGCTAACCATGAAGACCGAACTTATCGCATTTTCAGGCTGCGAAGCTGGAGTCGAGGCAACGGTGACTGATGAAACTACTTCATTGATACAATTTCTATGTCTAATGTACAGGGACAAGTCATCTGATCTATCAGGTTGCGAGGTCATTGCCAGACATCTTCCCTCACGCCGTCCACCATCTATATTGGTTTAAAACAAGACAGCAACTTCATTCTTTCCGCTGGAACAACTCCACTATTCTCTCCAAAGACTCGCCACGCAACCCTTCACCATGATTTGCAAGCGGATCGAAATCCAGGCTGTCATGCATACCATCTATACAGCAATTGAAGAATAAATATTTCATCCGACGAAAGAGAAACCTGGGGAACGCAGACTTACGTCGGTTGAGATACCCCTTCACTCGCTAGATTGCAGGTTGATATCTAGTTAACGAAATGTGATTGAAAAGCAGTACGAACGGCCCAAACGTACCCATGCATCGATGATTACGTCCTCGCCTCCTAACACAACTAGCGTCTTGTCGGGATCATTAGCATGAGGAATCTGGTCATGAAATAGGGTATTGGTCGACCAGTCGAAATGCTATCCGGCAGATGAAGGAATGAGCATCATGCGTTCGAGGCGTAGTTCCAGGTAACATAAATGGCAGACGCTTACCCGCTGGATCGAGTTGGCGATACCAATTTCCGAGGCAATGAACCAGTGTAGCAAGAGTTCTATCGCAGTTCGCGGCTTGCGATAGCAAAAGTTGTAACATACATCTAGACATGGTAGGTCGATTCTCCATCAGTTTCACTAGCAGGAGAAGAGAGGAGCGAGTTCACTTACCGCCTTCCCAGAGACAGAACACAACGGGATCGACAAACGCATTCTTCAAAATCATCTCTGGCGCGTCGTTGACGAGCCATCCATGTGCGATACTTCCATTAGAATGACTACACACCACGATCCCGCGACGGATAGACTCCTTGTCGTGATGGGGTAAGCCTACATTGCTGGTGGTGACATTGTCCTTTTGTTGCTTTCGTGATACCCGTCGAGCGTCCGCCTCTGTCCAGAAATTCCATCGCTTACAAATCGCCTTGATGGTGGAAATCGTCTCTTCTCGTCCAGGCGGCTTCAAATGTCGCGGATGGAAGACGTGCATACTAACATGTGGTTGTAACGGCACAATGATCGGACTCGTAGGTAGTCGCTGGACGAGCGTTTCAAGCACATGTTTGTTTTGGATCTGCGGACAGTCAAAGGGTAAGCCATGGATTCGCAGAGAAAGCGGAGAGAGGGAGATGTGACTTGCCGAGACAAGGCCGACTCCTAGGCCGTGGAGGAATAGAATCGGATCACATCCTTCTGCGTCTTGCTTTTCCGGAGTCCAATCGGCGGGAAACCTCAACAAGTAGCTAGAATCCGTGAACAAGTGTCAGTCGGGCAGTGTCATCAAGTACCGTCTCCTTGAACGTACTCCATGTCACCTTCGCGGAACTAATCACACATGGTCGCATGTCAGTACGTGAGCTATGCAAGAGTTCTAACGGCACTTACGAGCTTGAACCCAAGTTGATCGCCGTAGACCGTACGTAGCATCCGTGCCTCGGCGAATGCACGTAAAGCATAGATGAACAACGGCCTAGGTCTGGTATTGACTGGATCCATCGTGAAGCGCATCAGTTTCACGATATCCCTAACCTTTGCATGCGCTTTTCTCTCGGTGGTGGTCATATCCTCCTTCCGACTCGCACCTCCCGTCTCTTCTCCCTCGCCACTGGGAGGATTTGCTGACGTATCGTCAGATGAGGGCGGAAAGTCGGTAAACGTGGTTCCGGTACGGGCTTCTAGCATCTCGACGCTAGCTTCCAGTAACGCCATCTGGGCAGGTGAGCGGGCTACGGTGTCGTACGGAAGGTTGCAGCATGACCAGGCAAGCCAATGAAGGACATCTTTGCGAGTTATCGATTCCCAGGGCACGCGGCCGAACCTGGAAAGGCGGGAATCAAGGGGTGAGCAAGGCGAAAGCAGGCCAACGAACAGGGACGTACCAATTCCGCATCTTCTCCCGGAACGCAATAGCGCGTGGATCATTTTTTTCCAACCTCCTCAGCCGGATAATCGGACTGTTGACGCCATTGTTCATCGCCTCGGAAGCCGCGCTCGTCTGATCCAGTCCGTTGGGCTTCCCAAGGCGGTTCCTTAATCCGGAAGAGGAAACCGGAGCAGTACCCTTAGGTGATTGCTGTTGTATGTGCGGGTGGACGTGATTACGTTGTGTGTCCAGATGTCCCGTCTGAGCCAATGAAATGGCATCCTCAAGTCTCTCCTGTATTTCTCTAGCGGATGGCAGCTCTCCGGCCTCCAGTCGTGATTCTGACCCAGTCACTGGTGGCTCTTCGTCTTGCATACCAATCTGCAGCATCTTGACGAAGAACAGGCGGCATTCCTCTGGGTCGAGATTCGATGGAGGTGCAGGTTGCTGCACGATCCGAGTGATATACTGGAGGTAAAAGTAGAACAAAACCTGATGTAGCTAGACGTGAGTATACCATGTGTGCGAAACGGATCGGGTATCGTCATCTGCAAGAGGGCTCACCTCTGACAGGGCATACACAAACCCTACAAACGCACCAGCACCGACCCAACCATCCCATTTCCTTGCACGAAGCCCATAAAAAACCACCCACACGAAACAAACGGGTATTGTACCAAACACGGAAAGGACGACAGCGAGGGCTAGGTAGTACCGTACTCCTCTGCGTTTTTCGGTAAAGTCGAGCGGGAAAGTTGGACTTGCACGCTGCTTGATGATCGAGGGATCTGGACGAGGTGCGATGAGCTCTACCAAGCCTCCAGGGCGGGGACGAAGCATGGTGTGTGGCGGTATGAGCTCGGTCAAATGCCTTCGAAGGAACTGAACTGAAGTAAACCAAGAAATTCCAAGAAAGTGAGGAAATGAGGAAATGGCGAATGTTCAGAGCTATATTGGGATCTGAAGCACGGCGAATCTCGCCCGTAAGCACAAAGTAAACAGACCCCTCTCCCCAGCTTGTTGGGGCAAAGCTTCGGTTGGCTACGCAGTAACACATCAAATTGATAATGCATAGTGCCAAACTGTCTAGCAGCTCATGCAACTTTCTTCAATTCCTTGACTGCCCCAAGTCATCACATTCATCTCCTACATCTATTCACCCAGAGTACGGAGCCCTAAGCTCCAAACAGCTCCGGACCGCTCTGTCCCCCTTGCACCCGGACGGTCATTTACGCCCATGCATAGCTGTTCCAAAAGTATATCATGAGTATCTCAAAACCCTTTCACAAGCAAGCAGGAGACTCACAACTGTTCACCGACCATCGCTACGTCCGTCCCTGGTCCCGCGCCATACCACGCGAGCGCGCCGAGATGCTCGTCCCGCACATGCGAGACCAGTTTTCCTCCGTTTTCCTCTGTCCACTGTTGCCAGGCGTCGATAAGCGGTTGCGGAAGCTGCCAACCCTCGATCTGAGTGCACGAATACATGGTA